TAAATCTTCTTCCAGCCTTTCATCCTTAGCCTATGCTTATTTCTGTCGGTGAGATGGGTCTCCTGTAAGCAACAAAGTGTTGGATCTTCCTTTTTTATCCAGTTCGTCAAACGGTTCTTTTTGATGGGGGAATTAAGTCCATTAACATTAAGTGTTAGTACTGATAGGTATGTGGTGATTCCTGTCATTTAGTTGTCTTAGTTGTTTGAAGGTTTGATTGTGTGTACTTAAGTTGAGGTTTCTCTCTACTTTCTTGCTTTTTCTTTTCCTGTAGTTTGGTGCTGTCTGCCCTTTCATGGTTATGTTGGGTTTCACTTTCTGTGTGCAAAATACCTTGAAGAAATTTTTGTAGTGGTGGCTTTGTGGTCACATATTGTTTTACTTTCTGCTTATCATGGAAGACTTTTATTGCTCCATCTATTTTGAATGATAGTTGTGCTGGGTAGAGTATCCTAGGGTTGAAGTTATTTTCATTCAGTGTCTGGAAGATGTCACTCCAAGCTCTTCTTGCTTTTAATGTTTCTGTTGAGAAGTCTGCTGTGATTTTGATGGGTTTACCTTTGTATGTTATTTGTGTTTTCTCTCTTACAGCCTTCAAATTCTTTCTCAGGTCTCTGTATTTGTTGTTTTAATGATAATATGCCGTGGGGTATTTCTAGTTTGGTCTGGTCTGTTTGGTGTTCTGGAGGCCTCTTGCATCTGTATGGGAATATCTTTCTCTAGATTTGGGAAATTTTCTGTTATTATTTTGTTGAATCTATTATGCATTCCCTTTGCTTGCACCTCTTCTCCTTCTTCAATGCCCATGATTCTCAGGTTTGGTCTTTTGATGGATTCAGTGAGTTCTTGCATTTTCTTTTCACAGGTCTTGAGTTGTTTAACTAATAGTTCAGTTTTTCGTTTAATTACCATTTTATCTTCGAGTTCTGAGAATCTGTCTTCTGTTTGTTCTGTTCTGCTGGATTGGCCTTCCATTTTGTTTTGCAATTCTGTTTCATTCTTTTTTCTGAGGTTTTTCCATATCTTGGGTCGTTTCCTCTTTAATGTTGTCTCTTTTCTTCCTGAGTTCATTTATCTCTTTATTAATCATGTTCTTTGTTTCACTTTGGTGTTTATACAGTGCTTCTATGGTTTCCTTTATTTCTTCTAGTGCTTTTTCAAATTCTCTATTTTTGTTGTCTTGGAATTTCTTGAGTGTTTCCTGTACATTTTGCTTGACCACATCCAGTATCATCTCTATAAAATTCTCATTGATTACCTGTAGTATTTCTTCTTTTAGATTATTCTTGTGAGCTTCATTGGGTTTTTTTGGCATAGTTTATATTCATTTTGTTGGAGTGTGGGTCTGAGTATCTGTTTTCTTCATTTCCCTCTGGTTTCTGTACTAATTTTTTGCTTTGGGGAAACTAGTTTCCCTGTTTTTTCTGTTTTCCCGTCATTGCCTTGGTGTTGTTATTTTCCCTGTACTGTGTGCAATTAAGTACTTTCTAGCTTGTGATAATAACAATGGTGATATTTAGAATGAAAGGGTGAGAGGAGAGGAAAGCAAAGAAGTTAAAGAAAGAGGGAAAAACAAATAAACCAAAAAAACCCAAAAGAAACAAACAAACAAAAAAGTTTCAAAGATATAAACAGGAAGAGATAGTATACTAATGAACAGTAAGCTGAACAGGCATTAGAGAGACAGAGATAGGATTGAGAAAAAAATTAAATAAATAAAATAAAAAAGTAGAAAAAAGTTAAAAATCTCCAAGTTCAAATACAATATAGTTTCAGTCTTAATAATTTTGGTGTTAGTCCCTCAGCCTCCAATCCTTGAGATGTGTCTCAGAAGTAGTTCTGTCATTGTCTCCTCAAAGGGGGAAAAAAACAAAACAAAACAAAAAACCCCACAAAGAGTCCCAAGTTCAAATGCAATACAGTTTCAGTAAGTTTTTCAGTATGCACATGTAGGTCTGTTGTCTCATCAAAGGTAGGGAGAAAAAAAAAAGAGTCTGGAGACAGGTCTGTGAATGGCTATCTGCAGCTGTGGCTTGCCTCCCACTGCTGTCAGCCTGCTGTTGCTAGAGGTGTTATTTATGCAGATCTCAGGGGTGAGCTGAACTCTCACCTAGCCCTGAAGACTTTGTTTACTCAGAGTACTTCTGTGCGCAACCACCACTGCTACAAGCTTTCCCCTTTCCAAGCACACTGGGGGAGGTGACACTACTCCGGCTTTCTCAGGCCTGCGTGTTTATTTACAGCTCACATGGGAAGTGGGTCTTCCCCCTTCTCCTGTGGAGTTTTCTTCTCTCCGCCACTCTCACAAGCTTTCCTGCTCCTGATTGGGCATGTGCTGCCGCTCCTGCCTTCTCTGGCTGGCTTGTTTATTTACAGTTCTGTGAAGGATTTCCCTTCCCCCTCTTCAGTGCTCAGGGTGCCCCACCCTCTTTGCTATATGTCTTTTTTGTTGTTATTTCTTATTATTCAGCTTTTTTTTTTCTTTTTTCCCTGGGTAGGGGTCAGTCTGTCCAGGGGGCTATGCTGATCTGGCCCAGGGTTGTCTGTGGGAGTACCAAGTGTCACTTAGCTCATCTTGTGGTCCGCATCTTCCCAAGCTGTCTGGGTGCTGGCGTCTGGCGGCAGCTCAGGAGCCCTTTTGGTTTCTCCATTTAATGTGAAGTGGAGATGCTATGCGCAGGCTGGAGGTGTGGAGAAGTCAAAGTTTTGCCTCTTCTTGGTGGTTTTTCCTGTAAAGTGTATCTCCAGTGTCTCTCCAAGATTTTACTTTAGGACGCACGCTTTCTGCTTCCTCCCTCTAGCCGCCATCTTGAAATCCTCAGGAGGAGTTCTTATTTATGAATGTTTCAAGGATATACCTGGCCCATCCAGATTGCTTATTATAGGTAAACCTGGAATTTAAGGATTTATGAGATGCAGTTTTGTAACTCTCCAGCCTGTGCAGTTTATGGATTTATGAGACAGCCTATAACCTCTACAGTCTGAGTGATTAATGGAGTATAAAAACTAAGAAGGTGAAACCTAAACAATTTCCTCTGAGCTGATGCATATTGTGCACATTGTTAGTGATTGTCTTTTTCTCCACAACCATGAAGGGAAAAAGGATGATTGGGAAGCTGATGGTTCAGGGCTTCTTTCGGGAGCAATGTTATGTAGGTATCTTTTTATTGTTTGCCTCTCATTGGCAACATTTGGTGTGGGCAAGAACCTTGTGATTTGTGTAAGTTGACTTCGACAACTGAAGCCTTTATGGTAACATGGTTTGCCAGCTACTTTTAGATGTCATTGGAAAGTTACTTCTTTTATCTACCAGGTCAAATTATTTTCTTCTGTTCTGATGACACTTGATCTCTTTTCCCCAAGAAAAGAGAATTTTATTAAGGAAGCAAGAATCAAATGTCTGCCAGGGGGCTGGAGGGCATGACTCAAGTGGTAGGGCACTTGCCTTGCATTTACAAGATCCTGGGTTCAATTCCCAGCACCTCAAAAACAAAACAAAACAAAAAGTAAAAGTCTACTAGGGGCAAGGCACTATTTCCATGCCAGCAAATAAAAAAAAAAGGGGGGGGGGGTAGGAGAAGGAAAATAAGGTATTTTTGTTCTTAGGACCCTAGATGGATGTATTTGTTAGCTACTAATTTTTTTTTTTGAGACAGGATCTTACTAGATAGCCCAGACTGGCCTTGAACTCCTGATCCTCCTGCTTCTATTTCTCAGTTGCTGGGATTACAGGTGTATGCACTGTGCCCAGCTTTGTTAAGTACTACTTTAAATGAGCAAATGCTGATTTTGCCTCTTGTTTAGCATGTTTGCTGTGGTTTTTTTTTAAATGTTGCTACAAATTTAGCACTTAGCCTTAAATGAGAGGAGAAAAGGGACCAGAGTGTACTGAGTGCTTATTAAATGCCTAGATCTTTATATATATTATTTTGTTTATACTTTAAAACAACCCTGGGAAGTAGCCATTACTGTGCCTTTTTTTAAAACAAGTGAAACCACTGATAACTTGCTTCAAATGCTTAATAAATGAAGAGGTAAGACTCAGATGCTCTTCTATTTGACTCCAAAATCTGTATCTTTGATTTAGAGTAGGGTGTTCTTTGGAAGCCCTTCAGATGACTGTGGACTGAGACAGTGTGTAAGAGTGCCATGATACATGGTTTGATGAGGTTTTTAACCGTCTCCAAGAGGAGATAGAGGGAAAAAGAGGAAGAGACAGGTTAATTTGATTTCATTATTGGGAACTTAGCACTTGCAATTTGATGAGATGGAGTAAACTGGTTGTACCAGGTTCCTCTGGGCTCCAGATCTTGCACTATAGGTGGGAAAAAGCCCTTTCTTCACTTGCTGTGCCCTTTATTTTCTGTCCCTTTTTCTTGCAAGGTTAAGGCAGTGGAAACTGCTGTGTGTGTGTGAGTGGTGGTAAGAAGCAGGGGGCTCGTGTTCTTTGGGTCTTTAATCCCACAGAAAAGTTTTATGCATAACTACAAAGTTAGAAGACTGCCATGTGGTGTGTGTAGGCTTCTTTGCTCTAACTGCAGTGGAGAATAAGACCTTTGGGAAGAAACCTGTAGGAATGTGGAAAACAGAAGTATAGGAAAGCATCCTTTAGGCAGTCCATATTCCAGAGTCATGCTTCTCCAGCTACGTGAGGTGTATATCATAACTCTGGAGGGAATGTGCATAGGCTGGCTGTATGCTTAGGCTTTTAAGCATTTAAATAATTTTTAAATGACAATTCAAATTAGTTTATTCTTTTCTCTAAAGCAATGTTCATTTATATGCTACTCTTATTAAAGTGTTTTTGTAAAGTTTAAAATCAAACCATTTAAAAATATGCAATCATGACCCTTTAACAGATTTTGGCTTTAGTATTTAGCTGCTTAATAATTGTGTGTGGTATGATTGTGCTGAAGAAGGCATGAATCCAAACACAACCTTTTCTGTTTCCTTAGAACGGTTTACAACTTGTCATATCAGTAAATGTTTTAAATTTACAGATCAAAATGGAAAAGGCTGCTAAGCAGAAAGGAAAAGCTCCATTGCCATCAACTACAAAATCTTCCTGAAGTCTATTTACTTTTTTTTACTGTGTAAATATGTTTGTTGGGATGTTTTCTTAATTTATTAAAATAAGAAGAATTACCTTATTTTGTCAAAATTCATTATTTACTACTATTTCACACACACACACACACACACACACACACACACACACACACACACACGTATATTTATTTTTGAGACAGTCTTGCTGTGTAGCCCAGGCTGCCCTCAAACTCATGATTCTTCTGCCTCAGCCTCCTGAGTGCTGGGTACATACACTTTTCTTTTTTCTTAACAAGTGAGGTTATTTTTATGAGTCAAACCTTGAGAATACAGTAAGTATTTTTAGTCTATATAATTTAACTTTAGGGTATTTAAAAAATTAAAAATGTTACCAAGAGTTTTTAACCAACATAAAAGGGCCACTTTTTCTTTGTAAATAGTAAGTTAAAATTGTTAATTTTAACTTTTCAAGCTTTGGAATATTGATTTATGTTTTTAAATAAGAACTGTACTTTAAAATTAAACAACCATTTTCTAGTGATATCTACTTATTTTTACATTGTGTCATAAACTACCACTGTATATAATTGTATTGGATACCTTGTGTGGTGGCACTGCAAATCCTGTCCTCACCTATATTCCAGTACCACTGTAAAATGCTTTCAAACAGGCTTCTGACAACTTCACATGAAGCCATTTGGTAACACCTTGTCTTGGGTTTATGTCATGGCTTTCTTCCACAGGGATCCTCAGACACTGGCTTGGAATGCCTGCTGTAACCATGCTGTATCTTACATGTGCAGCCCAAAGATATGGGGGAGCTAACGACCCTAATGGGAGGTGGCAACCGATATATAAATGCACCCTTCCCTGGTCTACTATTGAAGCAATTCTGAGATGCATTTCATAAGCTTCCTCAGAAAATCACATGGAATTGAGCACCAGTCACCCACAGCATTGTGTAACTCAATAATACATTCTTACATTAGGTTTCTCTTTCCACTATTCAATCCCTACTTCTAATTACCAAATAAATTACCTGTGTGTGTATATATATATGGTTTTTACTTTTGGGTAGGGGGTAAACTCAGGCCAATATGGTTGGTGCCAGGAATGGCCTTAGAAAGCAAACACTCAGGATGGGACTTTGTGGCCCAGTTAGTTGTATGGCAATGGAAATGGGTGAAATATGGGTGGATGCTGAAGTGTTAGGTTATGAATGACCATGTCATTGCAGTAGAATGAGAATAGTGGGAATTATAAAGACTGAGGTATTGGCTGGCTATTGTTTTTTTTTTATTTAATTTTTATTGTTTTATTATTCACATGTGCATACAATGCTTGGGTCATTTCTCCCCCCTGCCCCCACCCCCTCCCTTACCACCCACTCTGCCCCCTCCCTTTTTCCCCCACCCCCTCAATACCCGGCAGAAACTATTTTGCCCTTATTTCTAATTTTGTTGAAGAGAGAGTATAAGCAATAATAGGAAGGAACAAGGGTTTTTGCTAGTTGAGATAAGGACAGCTATACAGGGAGTTGTCTTGCATTGATTTCCTGTGCATGTGTTTTACCTTCTAGGTTAATTCTTTTTGATCTAACCTTTTCTCTAGTTCCTGGTCCCCTTCTCCTATTGGCTTCAGTTGCTTTTAAGGTATCTGCTTTAGTTTCTCTGCGTTGAGGGCAACAAATGCTAGCTAATTTTTTAGGTGTCTTACCTATCCTCACCCCTCCCTTGTGTGCTCTTGCTTTTATCATGTGCTGAAAGTCCAATCCCCTTGTTGTGTTTGCCCTTGATCTAATGTCCACATATGAGGGAGAACATACGATTTTTGGTCTTTTGGGCCAGGCTAACCTCACTCAGAATGATGTTCTCCAATTCCATCCATTTACCAGCGAATGATAACATTTCATTCTTCTTCATGGCTGCATAAAATTCCATTGTGTATAGATACCACATTTTCTTGATCCATTCATCAGTAGTGGGGCATCTTGGCTGTTTCCATAACTTGGCTATTGTGAAAAGTGCTGCAATAAACATGGGTGTGCAGGTTGGTGGGCTATTGTTAACTGCTTTAGAAACCTTGACAAAAGAAAATGACATAGGCTTCTGTTAGCCACTTAACTCAAGGTATGCTATGAAGCTGTAGTCCTTCTATAGCCATTTAAGGAAAATTTCACCTCCTGCATCTTCAGGGCATATACTGGTGATGATCAGGTTCAACTCTAATAGTAAATGTGGTCGGGTTGTGAAGGAAACTGAATGCACAAGCTGCAATTCTCTTCCAACAAACTCAGCATGCTCTGACAAGTGAAGAACAGAACTCTTGATCATTGGATGGGGACATTTGGTTGGTGACCTTGAGAATTTTGAACCCTCAGGTTTCTTTGAAACTCTAGGCTGCTAAAACAGCATCTTCCAATTTGGTAGAAGAGAGCAGCCTGTCCTTGCCTTGACATTTAGTAAAGGCTTTATTTGAGGCAGTTGCATCACAAAGTGACTATCCTCTTTAAGACCCACCCTTGCTACCTCTATTGACTCTAAACTAATAACTAGGGTCAAGTCTCAGCATACCCCCAAGGAGGAAATACAGTCCTTCCTCTAGAAGAATAGTTTATACTGGATGAACTGCAGGTTGTGGTCAAAGTACATTGGCTGGAACCCAGGAAACATGTCTGGGAGCAGATCTTGAGAGTGTTGGATCAAGTATGGAGTAGGAGAAGAATATAAAGCTTGATAGGAGAGAGTGATATGGGAGCACTTGCTCATCATGCATGATTCAATGCTATGGCAAGGATGAATGGAGGGGTAGTCCTAACAGACTGTAAAGGCTGCATGTAGAAGATATGGGGGATATGCCAGAATAGGAAGGGGTCAGAAAGCTTAAGGGTGAAAGAATGTTAGAATGGATTTGCTGTTTGAAACTGGAGAAGCTAGCACCTGAATTTTCCCTGGGAAGGCCCAGAGGACACGCATAACTTAGACATGCATAACTAAGACAATATGACACGTAATGGTTGAGAGTATACTTAAAACAATGAGAAATTGTTACTGGCTGACCACTACAGTTAGAACTGATGCTGCCATTATACTGGGCTCTGTGATATCAGTGTAGATAGAAGATAGGATACAGAAATCATGAAGGCCAAGTTGTGAAACTTAGCTGTCAGAAGTCCAGTGAACATAATCAACTTTCCAGACACCAATACATGAGTCTGTGAATAAATTTAAGCTCATGATATTCCACATAGAAGGACAGCTGATTAAGATGTCTTGAGTTATATAATTGCCCCCAACTCACTCTTCAAAAAATAACAACCCTTGAGAACTGGCAAGCAGAGACTGACATTAATCACGGTAATGAAAAACCAGTTTCTTATCTGATTTCCAGATCTAAGGCAGTTAAAATCAAGAGCCTTGGATGGGAGAGCCCAGATTCTCTGGGGAAGGATCCTTAAATATACTTGAATAGTATCTCTCTCATCCTTCCTCATGGGGCAGATATTTAGCATCATTTGCCAGGATGACTATGCAGTGGATAAAGAGTAATGATTAAGCCAGGCACTGGTGGCTCACACCTGTAATCCTAGCTACTCAGGAGGCAGAGATCAGGAGGATCTGAACTATTTGCCAGCTCATGCAAATAGTTCGCGAGACCCTATCTCAAAAAACCCCTTCATGGGAAAGGGCTGGTGGAGTGGCTCAAAGTGTAGGTCCTGAGTTCAAACCCCAGTATTTCAGGGGGAAGAAAAAAAAAAGTAGTGATCACAATTTTCAACCAAGGACACAGGGTCTGCACTGACATGGACCAAAAATACTACTGGGTCCACTGGTTAGAGTAGTTTTTTTAAAGCCAGGATCTTGCTGTGTTGCCCAGGCTGGTCTTGAACTCCTGGGTTCAAATAATCCTCGTGCTTCAGCCCCCAAAGTAGCTGGGACTATAAACATGTGCCTCCATGCCTAGCACAGAGTAAGGTTTTATGGAAGCCCAGTAATACATTGAGTCCTAGCCAAACATCATCTCACAGTGGGTAAAATGGGCCTCGTTCCACTCTTTGTTTTCTACAATCCCTAAGCACATGTAATTAGGGTAGACAAAAAGTAGTTTGATGCTGATAGAAGCCTTGGGATTATACTGATAACCTTTACTTCTCATCTCAGGGCTTCTCAGATGCAGCAAGACAGTGTTAATGACCTGGGGTCCCCTTTAACCAATGGATCAAGTAGATATAAAGTCAGTAAGGATGTAAAAGACAGCCATGTGTGGTGGTTCATGCTTGTAATCCCAGCATAGGGAGGCTGTGGCAGGAGTTTGAGGTCAGCCTAGGCTAAATGGCAAGACTCTGTCTCAAAACAAAAGGATTTTAAAGACATGAACAACACTGTTAGCCAACTTGACCTAGATGATAATACAGAGCACTCAAACCAATAACACAGTAACAGCAGAGTATGCAAATGGCACATTTACTAACGCTGTAAAACAAGTCTCTCCTTTTAAGATAATTCAGCTCATAAAGATAGCCTCTGACCCCCATGAAATTAGAAACCAGTAATAAAGACATATGGGAAATCTTTGAATATTTGAAAATTATACAACACATGCTTAATCTGTGGATCAAAGAAAACAATTTAAAGGGTATTAAAAGTACTTATAACTGAATGAGCATGAAAACAATAACATTTATGGGATGTAGATAAAGCAAAACTTAAGAGGGAAATGTATATAGCACTTTGGACTTTACCTTATGGAGGTAGAAAAACACACCAAAAAAAAAAAAAAAATCCATTCCCTACAAGGGCAATGAACCAAACAGACAATTCTCCAAAGAAGTAGAAATGACCAATAAATACATGAAAAAATGCTGAATATATTTACCCACCAGGGAAGTGGAAATCAAAACTATATTGAAAATCCATCTCATCCCAGTCAGAATGGCTATCATCAAGAAAACAAAGAACAACAAATAGCTGATGAGGATGTGGGAAAATTCCACTGTTGGTGGGAATGTAAATTAGTGGTCACTTTGGAAATCAGTATGGAGGTTCCTAAAAAGATAAAAGTCCAGAAATAGAACTACTGTTTGAC